ATTTACATTCAACGTTAGCTTAAACCGGTAATCGATACAGTCACGTGACGCAGACAAGACGTATTGAGCAGTCTGCTGGTAATGGCATACTTAATTTAACAGGCTGTTTACAGTACATACTCATACAGTAGTATGCAGTACGTTAGTATACAACTTTAAACACAACCTCAGTGTTTATGTAAATTGGTGAACTGACCCTTTAAGTAAGACTTGTGTTTAAAGATAATTGTTGTTTGAAATCATTTAAATTTTGCATATTTTAATGCTGTTGAATTTGTGTGGGTATTTTTGTTGCCATCCTCAGACAGCATTAAAATGGCTCTCATTAGCTGACTCCATGGAGCAATAACTCTAAAAAGCTAATTGTTTTGGTGTCAGCAAAACTACTGCAAACTAGTCAGTGTCTGTCACATTTCAGGAGTCCATTTAGAATTCTCTGGCTGGTCACCAGAGACATACTGTATCTGCAGATGAACATCACAGGCATCGGAGCTCATACGGAGCTGACGTGGCCCATATCAGGCTGTGCAGACTCATGGGCCCCCCTTGGGCATATCTCGCCCCGCAAGGACAGCCAGCGACACGGTGAGCGGACGGTCGGCCGGTGTTGGCCTCGCAACAAAAGAAAAGACTTGTTCCTCGTCAGGGCTGTTTTCATCAATAGCCCCTGTGTCTGGTATGTGCTGTTTGTCCAATTACTCACACAAAAGGGCTCCATCCACTGACCGCCCGGGTTAACCCAATAAGACACAAGCTTACAACTAATCATTTGGACATATGGGATATTATGTCAGTCAGCTGGCAGGGGGGGGGGGGAGAATTAACCAGCGGCGTCAGTCTGGGATATGTCATGTCATGTGTAGAAGAACTAATATTCAATCATTCCTTTAGCCAACAAACCTTAATTCTAACTAGGGCCGGGCGATGCGATGATATTTTTGACCAGCTACCTCAATATTGATATTGCAGGGATTATTGTAGAGTAGTCACAATGAGATTTTTGATATATAAATAAATAACATAAAAATAAATAAATAACATGATTATGCTGTAATTCAACCTTTAAAACCAGGAAAAAAACACACTTACGCCATTTTACGATATCCCAAATTTAAGACGGGATCTGGTCCCATATCACTATATCGATATAATATTGATATATTGCTCAGCCCTAACTCTGACAGCCACAAGATTAAGCCTACATGCTTACAATGCAAGAAAGGTTCATCTATGGCAAGAAAAATAATATATATAATCCATCATCATGACAAGTGCTTTTCTTTTCTTTGATTAACTATTAGTAAAATGGGACCATTTGTTTGAGCACTTTTCTAGTACGAGTCAGTTTCAATATTTTTAAAACAACAAAATGACTGAACTTGAACCAAGACGTGTATTTATTTGATTTTATTTGGCTCTAATCTTTTACTCAGTGTTTACTTCAGTGTTGTATTATATTTATTTAATTGTTGTTAAACATAATTTGGTGTGTATTACATCTCTTCATCTTCCCTCTGTTTTGGTCATGTTTTCGTATTGTCAGTCATTTGTAAAGCACTTTGAATGGCATTTGACTATATAAATCAAACTTGATTGAATGATTTCTTGATCTAGTTCTCTTTACGAACGTCTCAGATATCAGTAAAACTTTCTTGAAACACGTTTAATCTAGAGGGGCGTGACAAGAATATCCATCTCGGGTACAAACAAATAAGATTGAATCAAACTAAAGAAGATAATGTGAATCACTGGAATCGAGCTTTGCGTCGTGTAGCTTTAACTGAGAATAATCACACATGAGACCAGGAAGTTGATTTACAGTGTCGAAAAGACAAATGATCTTATGGTGGATATTTATCTTTAGCCGTATATATACAGTATATTTGGGACAGAACTACATTGACAACTTATTCAGGCACCTGCTTCTTAATGAAATGGTTTGGCGCATCCATCACCTTCTCACTATGCGTTTCTCTCTCCCCTCATGCAAGAACCAGTAATACAAATCCCTGAAAGTGTGTTGCAAGTGTGGAACCATCCAAGCCGCCGCTGTTGACCTTTGCCCTAAATATGCACATGCAAGCGGAGGTCAGGAATGTGGGGCACCTAAGCTAATTGTGAGAATATCTGCGGGGGGGTTATGTGTCGTGTACGCGGCGCAACGCTCTGGAAAACCTCCAGTCTCGTTGTGTTGTAGCTCTTCTCAGAGCTGTGGGAGCGGAGGCAGAGACAGATGGGGGAGAGGGGAGGGACTGGGAGGAAGAGCCAGTGCACAAATAGCAGAGCTCGCCTCCTGTCTCAAACTGACAAACAGTGACAGGCAGCTGACACATTCTTCCGAAACGGAGGGCCCCGTCCTCCCGTCTGCGCCTGAGAGTCGCTGCGAATGTTTGTGTTCCGTACCGATGTCAGTTTCAAAAGGCCAAATTCCTCCAGCAGTTTTAAAATGATACACTTCTACTGTGATACATGATGTGTTCCTGTCTGCATATCTAGAGATCTCCATCAACCAGCTGGTAAAAAACTGAAACAACACAATATTTTGGGTCATTTCTGGTTGGGTGAAAACCCAAACATTTTATACAGAGCTTCTCAGCACAGTGGAGGGCTTACAGATTCTAGGACATTTCACCTTGGTGTATTTTGGAAGGTGCAGAAACAGGCCCTATTTTTGACTAAAGCGGAAATGTGCCACACATTGATTCGTTACTACAATTCCTGCTCGTCAGTATTCACCCGGCGTTCCTTTCCGAACCATTAAACGCTGCATTTAGCTGTTCCTGGCCTGAAGTTTCCGAAACCCCCCCAAGGGCTCTGTGGAACTCTCTCCCTCAGATTCACTCTTTTTACCACTTTTCTAAAGATGGAACTGTTCTATAATCGGCGCCGTTTAGGATGATCCCAACTTATTTCGATGGAGCTCTGTGCAGTCTCAGAACGAAGCCAGTACTCCGAGCTAACGTATTAATCTACCTCCATCTACAGCACCTGTATGTCACTATCTATATTATGGTTCTTCCATCTAAGGTTTAGCACACTCTAAAGCTTTTTGATGGTGACAATAAATAAGTAATCTACCTCTCATATCAAATGATAACAGTTACTGTTTTCTAAGTGTATGAAGTGTATGAGCTGCATTAATTCATTGTCTGTCAGAAAACATAAAAGAAATATGCAGCCACTTAATTATCTCACATGCAGCAGATATAGAGCAGCATTCACTTGAAGTTTGTGGTGACGTGACAAACGGAAGTCTAATATCAGCCCTCCTTTCAGCTCCGTTTTGGTCTCCACCAACTCCTGAGAAAAACATCTGGCTCTTTAGCAGCTAGATGTTCGGTGTTCTTCACCTGCTGGCTGCTTTCACGTCACACACTGTCATTTGATTCAAAGCCTGGACGCTTGGATCTATTTAAGGCAGGGTTTAATCGGGTTTGCCATATGCAGAAAAATAGCAGGAGTCACAGGGCCAAACAATAGTGAATGCGTAGTTTGCCATCTGCGTTTCTAGACCAGAAAACCTAACGTGCCAGTATACAAAGTGTGGGACAGATGTCCAAACATTATACTCATTCATCACCCCAATGGATTCCTCGCAAATTAAGCAAACAAACTTCGCCATTACGTCTGTAAAAAAATGACTAACCTTCCCAACGTTTCTGAAATTTTCGGCACTCGCTCGCTATCCTTCATCTTTTCGGCTCCACCAATATTACCCGATTAACTGAGGTAAATATTTTCACCGACAAGTAATCAATGTAGGTCGAGTAGTTGTTCAAAATGGAAGCGAACACTAGAGTTCAATAGAAATATATTAGAAATATGCTCAAACCATATCCTAGTTTATCTTAAAAAAAAATTCACCGCTGGCCATTGGAAAACGGGAAGCGGCCCGCAGTTGGCCCCTGAGCCATAGTTTGGCCGCCAATGATTTAAGATCATTAAGTGATTCATTTAAAAGCCTACAATAACAAACTTATCTTTTCAAAAACAATATTCAACACATCATTACGTGGTCTGATTATTCATATCCTTACATGCTACTGTTTTGGACATGCTTATACAGTTGTACTTTAACACACTTCTGCGTTACACTATAATTGGTTGTATATTCTGTTCTATGTCGGTGCAACATGAGGATTTCCCCACAGATCATTTGCATGTTTTTGGCTCCCTCTGTGTCTCTCCTGGACAGAATCAGTGTTGTCTCACGGAGACAAATCTCATCTGCGTCCGTTTACAGTGACCTCTTATCTTCAGCAACCCGCAGCCATTCAAATAGACAGAGTACAATGTATCTAACCCCGGACTGTGACCACAACTGTGGTTACTCTCCTGTTTACACTAATCAAAGGCTTTCCGTTCAGTTGATTTGATTTAAACCCTGCCCCTCCTCCTCTGGTCATAGATCAGCTGGGAGCCCTTTGGTTTATGGCAGTATGGATGCTGTTGAATCATGAAGGTCTTGCAGTAATGGATATTTTGTGTGGTGAAAGTTGAAACCCACAGAAAGTGTGGAGAATCTAGGAAGTTCATAAAGCTTTAGAGATGGCAGTGTACATCCTACTAGTCTAATTTATAAGGAAGCAATGGTGTGGTGCTGATGAATGCCTCCTCTTGTTACTTTGTTATTACTTTGTTAATATAGCCCCTTCAGCTATTCTTGTATTTAAAGTACTTTTACACATACAGTTCTGGGGACAAAGCAACTAGTATATTTATTTATTTATATATATATATATATATATTTATATTTATATATATATATATAAAATCATTTTTTGTTTTTTTTAAGTTTGAGTCAGACTGAATTCTGAGTCTGAGGTTCAGGTTCGACTCGCGCAGATATGAGTTATATTAATTCTAAAAGTACCAAACCCAAATGACGCCCCCGCCAATAACTTCTATAAAAAGGGAGTAATGTACAGAGGTGTGTAGCCGGCCCACAGGAGTCTAATCTCGGCCTTTGTAAGTCCTCGCGCTCGCGTGGGCCAACTTACCCTCCAGCGTTACTTCTTTCCCCGCCTTCTTCAGCGCCTGGACCGCCAGGTCGTGCGTTGCCTCCCGGAGGTCGTTCCCATTCACCGACAGGATCGCGTCGCCCACCCGGAGAGCCCGGCTCTGGTCGGCGGCGAGACCCGGGAAGATCTTGGAGATGAGTATGGGCATCCGGTTCTCGCGCCCACCTTTGATACTGATCCCCAGCCCGCCAGACTCCTGTTTGACAACTCGGACTTTCCGCACAGCTTCCGAGGAGCCGTCCAGGCTGACGGGAATGTCGCCTTGTCTCGACCCGAAGCTGGACCCGGGACTGCCGTAGCTGGATCCAGGGCTTCCAAATTCAGAGTTTGTGCCGTTATTCGGGTACTTTCCGGGGCTGTTCGGACCGCAGTTGGCGTCGTATTGACCTCGACTGACACCCCCGCGCCCCGGGCTGCCACTGCGCCCCCTACCCCCGTGGTTCTGGTTCTGGAGTTGGTCTGGACCTGAGGACGGACCGCGGCCAGGGTTCCCCGGACTCGTTCCCGGGTCGTTTCCGTTCGACATGCCATTTCGTAGGCCTGCCGAAGAGTTGTTGTAGTCCCAGTGATTTCCCCCTTGTCCGGTTGCCTCCGCCTCGGCCGTTAAAGTCAGCGTTTCTCGGGTGAGTTCGGCGGCCACTCGCATCCAGCGGTCGCGGAGCAGAAGGTCGAGTTGGCCGTTTTTGTCCGCTCTGGTCCAAACTGCCATTCCTAGACGGTTAGCCTGCTCCGAGGCGGGCCGCTTTCACTCTAAAGTCATCATCAACTTTTTCCTCTTTTTCAGAGTGCGCACAAGCAGCGACTAGGCTGCACTGGCCCGCATCGACACACCCACTCCCACTGTGACTGCAGGCAGAGGGCGAGAAAAAACAGGACTCCCCAAAAAAACGAGGGAGAGGAAAGAGAAAAGAACAACTGGCCGTGATGGGCCAGCCTGAGACGGCTTGTTGATGAGTTCAAGCTCTAAAGCTGTCCGACTTCCACTGGAAAGTTAGCGAAAACAAAACTACAGCATATCCGGTAAAATCTTTCTAAATAAAATATATGCACACGAAATTTGTTTTAGGGTCAAATTTTGGAGTGAAGTAGCTGGATCAACTGTACAGGTTTATGTGTGAAAATGTGCTATTTGCATAAAGTCCCAGAACATAAATCTGAAGATTGGAAAAAAAAGGGTTCAAATGTCTTGTTTTTGTTGACATCTTAGAGTCACACATTTTTACAGAGGGCATTTTGGATATCTAATTTATATAACTCCATAAATCAGAAAATACTGTCAACGGTCATAAATAAAATATATTTTTGCCATGTTTTTTGGAATAAAATGTAGTTCAGGTTATGAATGATATACAAACAAACCCCTCTGTAACAACCTTCAGAACATAGAGAGGAATGAAAGTGTAAAGTTTGGTGTATGTAAGAGCTACTGAAGTGGAGATTTCTGGATCAGAGTCTGAGGAAAAACAAATTTAAAGAAAACGGTCTTTAAAGATGTGTTTTGTAAAATTACATTTTGAAGACACTACAGGTGAATAGGGTAAGACAATACTCTAATAAATATCACCAGGAAACTTCCCCATTTAATTATTTCCATTAAAAAAATATGTCTGTATTACAAGTTTGGTGAATACAGGAGAAAGCTACATATACAAATAGACAAACTAGTAAAATAAATATTTGGATGTTTACTTCTTCTAGTCTAAAATACAACATGTTATGGAAGCCAAATAGTACAATGTCAAAATTGACCAGTGCATGAAAAAACAGTTTTTGCCTCGGGTATCTTCCCTTAATGGACACATAAGACGTAATAAAAAGTTAATGAAGAAACCATTTTAATTTGTTACATCTCCCGCTTTTATTTTGAAAGAATAATCTCATAACTTCCCGTTTCAGTCTATTTCATTCATTCTATCTTTACACAGCTTGTTTTGTTGAAGAGTGAACTCAGAGCCGGATGACAGATGGAGACAGCCAATAGACACGTCGACCTGTAGATTATTTATTCATGATGAAAGGGGCGGGGCGTCCATCGACGCATTATGGATCCACTGACTGGGGCTAAAGCCTACTTAACTCACTGTGTTGCCTCTCGTAATGGATACTGCTGCCGACTATAACCGTTGTTTTTTCATATGCTGTAGGTTTTAATACCATTCCCCAAAAGAGTAAGTCAATAAAACTGCCCCGTCGTTGCCCCTCATGAAGGAAAACTTTCAAATTGGAACTATTGTCAATTCGGTCACTCTGTGTCCACATTAGAAAACTTGTCTTTTCATTCTGTCAAAACCAATCTATTGCGGAACAACCCTTTAATAGTCACGGAAAAGTAAGGCTGTGGTGTTGAGATGACAAAATATTCCCACAAGAAAGCTCATGACAAGTGTGTCATGTCTGGCCTTTCCATATCAGTCTGACATGCCTGCTTTCATTTCCCTTTGATCACAAAATAACATGTGACGAGGAAAAAGTATTTTGTTGAGTCCACAAATTATTAATGATGTGATCTCAAGACTGACTCATGAAATATTTTGATTGTGATCACAATAGAATACATTATTTACTCATCTCTCCTGGTGTGTGATGAAGGGATTTGTTGATATCAAAGGTGGCCAGACAATATAACATGGTTCTTAATGATTATACATTAATGAGGAAATTCTTGCATTTAAAACAATTTCTCTATGCAGATTACCTGGATGTAGCCTTATGTAGATGATCACCAGGTGTTACTTAGCTAAGATTCTGGACAAGCTGAGTAAAATATAGGCGATCTTCCATTTATTATCTCTGCCAGGAGATAATGAGATCGGTCATGTGTGTGTGCATTTCTGTGTCTGTCCACGGCCAATCTCGCATTCTGCTGCACCAAACTGCACACTATTTTAGATGGTCAGTCATGGCTGCATGCTCAAGGGCCTCTCCTTGTTGCAGTGACTCACACTTTTTTAAAACACCTTTTATTACCTGTTTTATACTGCCATTGACTGCCTGCTGACTCCTAACTCACTACTCCTAACCAGCCCCCAGCCAGTAAGGGCAGATGGTGATGAAACAGCTGAGTGCATCGCTGCTATGGGGTGATAAAGGATTTTATCACAGATCACGATAAAAACACTAACAATAAGTTGATCGTGGGGAATTTCCATAATTGGGATAATCGTAAATATTCTCCAGAGTGACACGAAAAAGCTGTCGAGCTCGCTATTATGGTAATGAAGTGAGAAATAGAGCCTGATTTTAAAAATACAGGAATTATCATGTCAAAAAGAACAGACTCACACAATGTTGCTTTTATTTTTTAGATTTATGACGACCTTATTTAAGATTGTTTGACACAAAAAAAAGATGTGTTCCATCTGTAATGCAATCAAAACATTTATTTCTTAACAAAATATAAGAAAGTATGTACTATGTTTTAGTTTTATTCTAAAAGTTCTAAGCATATTTTGATTATCGCAAATAATATTGTAAACCGCAAGGATTTTTGCTATAATTGTGACATGATTGTTTAAATTGTCCCATGCTTAATTGCGGCTGCCCAGCCGCTGCTCTATGGCCAGAGACACAGTGGAGGAAACAATTTTGCTCACTTTTATTGTTTTGGACGGTGTGTTTGGCTACGAGCTAACAGCTAATGGAACTACATGCGCATCGCACTCATTCAGCTGCTGATCCGTGGCCAGAGATGCAATTATTCTGTGCCTTATTATTGGACATGTGTTTTGTAAAAAATAGACTTGTATTCATTCAATCAAAACTTTACAGCAGTGGTCATTTCAGACACACCTGGCAGAGATCTGCACTCTACTGAGAGTCATTTTAAATGTATCACCAAGCTGCGTTCCAGAGATACACACTCCTGCACATTGACAGTTCGGCCCTCCAATGGAGTCACATCATGGGTGCTCACTTCATGTGCCTTTCATCTCCACCACCACTAGGGTTGTGGCAGAGTCACATCTGAGAGCATTTTACCAAGCGGCCAATTTAAACGATTAATTTTCAATGAAAAGAGCTCAGCTACTGCAAGCCTCATATTGGGAAAGCTCTGTCTATATATAAAGAAAGACATGAAGTTCGGCACGAGACAGCAGCAGCACAAACTACAGCCTCCAAAATGACCCATCAATGGAATCAACATCTCTCTAAAACAGTCAGTCTAAAACTGAACATTTAGTAGGATTTATAGTTGTCATACCATTACATTACACTGCATTAGTTTTAGCTAGGTGAACCTTGATAAAGGGACAACTAACATGATTATGAGATATGGGCCCCTGGGCACAGATTTAAAAGGCTCCACCACCTCACCTAAATAAGAGCAAGACACACAAACTTAGCCTCTTTTTTGTGGTCAATTTGTGTCACTTTGTAATTCTTTTGGTAGCTTTTTGTAGCTTTTTGTGTTTGTTTTGCCCCTTTTTGTAGTAGTTTTGTATCTTTTTGTAGTTGTGTTGTCTCTCTTTGTAGTCATTCTGCATCTTTTTGTGGTTAATTTTTCTCTTTGTGTTTGTTTTGTATCCCTTTATTCATGTTGTGTTGCCCCTTTTTGTAGTTGTTTGCGCCTCTTTGTAGTCATGTGTGTAACTTTATAGTCGTTTTGTTTTGTTTTTTAAGTCGCATTGTCTCTTTGTATTTGTTTTGTCTCTTTTTAGTGCTTTCGTGTCTCTTTGTGGTTGTTTCGTGTCTCTTTGTAGTTGTTTTGTCTCTTTTTAGTGCTTTCGTGTCTCTTTTGGTTTGTTTTTAATCTCTTTGTAGTCATCTTGTGTCTCTGCAGTTTTGTCCATTCACATTGATGATTTGAGTAATGGAAAACCTAATTTGTTTGTTTACTGTACAGGTGAATGAGCCCGGCTGTAACTGAAATATATATACAAGTTATATTGTGAATCTTAATCTCTTTAGCCTGGTTACAGACCTCTGAACTGACGACCATATCTTCTGATGTAGTGATTCCAATGGGTCTACTGTTGTGCTCATTGACGGTTGCCTCTACCTGTGGAATACAGCAATGCATATTGGAATAGCCAGCGAGTATAGTTTGAATCTGAATGATCCAGGGGGGCCTGGAGCTGCTACGAGGTCCTGAACAGTTCTTAAATAAGATATTGTTGGAGGCAAGGGCCCCACTGTGGGGACTGTTATCAAAGTGCCTTTGGTGTGACCCCGACAGGAAGTGCATCATACAGATGTTGGGGATTTCACTTCCAAGTTCTACACTGAAAATAATAAAAGATTCTTTGATAAAAATGGCTTTGGACAAATAAAATGCTTTTCTTTTGCCTCCACCAACCAGTCAAGTTTGAGTTTGTATAAATGTCTGTCCAAAATGTCATCACTTTCATCTTGTGTGAATTTATCATGATTAGCACATGAATCCTGTGATTTGTGAGGTCAAGCATCATTCTAATCAGTTCATCCTTGAGTCCAAGTTTGTGCCAAATTCAAAGAAATTTGCTCAACGTGTTCGGAAGAGTTCACGAGAATGGGACAGACGAACGGACGGAAAATCTGAAAACGTGCCTCCAGACACATCTGTCGCGGCGGCATAATAAAAGAAATATACAACATTGTGATTCCATATATCAATGAAGTGCAGCTCTGCGACCACTGAGGCCATTATGTGGCCACACGGAACAGTCAAACACAGCGGGCGGAAGAGTAAAAGTCAGACGCAGCACTGGTCGTGTTTGTCATTCGATTTTATTGCAGTTGAGGTTTACTTAGTGTTTACAAAACCAGAGCAGATTGCAAGCGTCCATGGGGAGTGAGAGAGGCGGGAGTTTTATTTGCTCGCTTCACATCAGCATCACCGTGCTGCGTTGGTTAAAAAAGAAGGAGCGGTCTGCAGCTTCGCCCCCGATACATTCAGTGTCACTGCCATCGCACCTCATCCAGCTGCACCTGGGGCTTTACAAGCACGTCTACAAACGCAAAAAGAGGCCTCGCTATGCAGCAGCCACTCCTTACAAATCTCTTTTTTCGGGTGATTAATACAAGCTTATCATTTTACAGTTCTGTCTCTGTGTCCTAAGTTACATTCATGAAAGCAAAAAAAACAAGGCAATCACAGAGAGCTAAAACGCTAGGGTTACATGTTGACTCTATGTCACGCAGCTTTTGTCCTCCTCAACTGACCACCACCCCAACACCACCTCCGCCTTCTCTCTCACAGTGCATACAAGCATACAAGCATACAAGCACGAGGACTTTAGTCATCCCTTGCCTCCCATATGCTTGCCTCCCAGGAGCTTTTTACTCAACCCTTATAAAGTAACTTGGGGGGCTCTTTGCGCAAGTTAGCACATCTGCTGGGTGAAATGGTGAGATATGGAAGATAATGTAGTTGGGAACTGGATGGTGGGTGAGGTGGTGGTTTAGAGTCTCTAGATTCGTACTTAAAAGTGTTCTATGCAGCTCCAGAAAAGGTTTATATATACGTATATATAAAATAGCATAACCGTCAAATAACGAATTTAATGCTCCACCCAGCAATATTTAAAGAACTTTGAAGGATCCCCACTAGTTTGTGTATTGATATCTATTCAAACCAAACTGACAGCTATTTGAGTCCTTATTGGTGTGCATGTAACCATTAAAACCCTAAAAGAACCCTACTTTTTCTGTGCATGTGTGTGTGTGCATACAGTGTAGCACAAGCGCAAAACTCATTATGGAGTGTGTGTGTGTTTGCAGAATGGGATAAAAAGTTAGTCACCAGAAAAGGTTTATGTATCATAGCATAACCGTTAAATAACGCACTTAATGCTCCACCCAGCAATATTTAAAGAACTTTGATTGTGCAACTTTGTGTGTGCACACAGCGTAGCTGAAGAGCAAAACTCATTATGGAGTGTGTGTGTGTAGGTGTGTGCGTGTATGTGTGTGGGCAGAAAGGCATTAAAAAGTCATTAATCTACTCATTGGTTGACATTGTTGATCGCCTTGGTGTGGAGATGCAGCGAAGGAGACGGCGATGATGCGTGAAGCTGCTGCTGTTGATGATGATGATGATGATGATGATGATGATGATGATGATGGGACTGGGCAGGGAGTTGGGGCTGACACTGTGGGTGTGGTGGAGGGTGACACTGAGGGTGAGGGCAAGTCTGGAGGTGTGATTGATGTTGCAGCTGTGGTCTCTGAGGGGGGGTGGCGGCGGCGGCGGCAACTTTGGCTTCCCTCTTGGGAGTGTTGTTGAGGATGTCCAGACTCCGGCGGCTTGAGGAAATTACGTCGGCAACGAATTTGGTGCATTCGGCGCAGACGTCGCGCAGCGTGCAGCCGTGGCCGTACAGGTGGGGGAACTCCTCCTCTACCGAGCGGCGAGACAAGCTGCGGAGTGACCTGCAGAAGGTTGGAAAGGTTTTGTGTTTTTAATATGAATACAGATGGTGTGGCACTGTTCGGTCTGACATCAATGTGTGGAACAAATTCATCGCAGAGATCTCACTCGGCATCTTTTGTTTATTTCTGACAAAATAAGGTTTAATGGTCAGAGCATAATAATACCTTTAAAAAAAAGAAAAGGTTTGGAGCAAAATTGATTAATTTCAATGGAATGTCCGCTCACTGGGACAAAGGCCAAACAATATTTTATGTCAGGATCAACTTTCGTGAAATTTGACGTGAAGTTGCGCCGTAAACAAAGTTGACCAACAGCAAATTGTCTTGACAATATGGACAAGGCAACAGAGCCTTGTCCATAGCTGCCTCTCCCTCTGGAACTCTCTCCCCAAACACATCCGAGACAGCACTGACCTTTCCATATTCAAATCACAAATCAAAACCCACCATATTGTTCTATGTTTCTAGTGTTTAGCTTTTTTACGATGATTTCAATGTTTGTAAAGTGTCTTTGAGAATTTTGAAAAGCGCTATATAAATAAAATGTATTATTATTATTATAATAAATCAGTTGTATGAACACTATCCACTTTTATGTCACGCTGCATAAAAATAAGCATGTTTACAGACATTCATGGGACAGGAATCAACCGTACTGTACATCTCTTGCATAAATTGTGTCAACGACCGAGCTACAGTAGCTAGCTTCTTAACTAACAGTTCTCAAGCAAGCTAGCTTGAAGAGCTGACTGTAGACTGTCTATAAAGATCCTTTAGACCAGGGGTGTCAAACTCATTTTTACTCCGGGCCACATCAGCATCATAGTTTCCCTCAAAGGGCCGGTTGTAACTCTAAGACTGTATAAATGTAACGACTCCCTAACATATTGTTAACTAACTCTCTGCATTTGATTATTGTTTATTCAAGTGTAAAAATATTGTACATGCAGTTATATAAATGTAAAATTATATTTAAGCACATTTCTGTTATTATACATAAATAATAAATAATTTTAATTTAGGGTTAAGAAACCCACATTACTCCATCAAAGATCTAACTTTTAAAGAAAATAACAAAGACAAATATCAAACACAAGTTATTACATTAACTTTGTTCAAAGCTATTTTTGTCACCTCTCTGCATCACTAATGTCCCCGTCGTCGTCCCGTGCATGGCAGCTACATCCAAGAGCTCCTCACTGAGAGCCAGGTCTTATAAACATGGATAGATGCTCTGTGTCCGTGTTGTCTGTGCTTTCATCAACAGCTAATGAAGAAGACGAGTACCTGCTCATCTCTTAGCTAGCTGTGTTGTTAGATTGCTGCTAATTCCTGAACTCGGTCTGCGATGGTGTTTCTTCACAAACTGACATTTGTAAAAGTCTGTATCTGATCGGAGCTCACCTGCTCACATACCTTTAGCATGCACTGGGCTGTAGCTTTTGTAAATATATTCTGCTGTTATTGCAGTCTGCCTTTTAATTCTTGGATAATTTTATGTTTTTCTTGGAGGCTAAATTTAGCTCCGTGTTTGGTGTCAAAATGCCGACGTGAATTGTATTCCTTCATCACCGACACGCATCATAACACAGAAGACAGACCCGTTTTTCTCCTTCAAGCACAGACATGTATTCTCTTTCCCATCTTTCATTACATTTTCTTCCCTCTGCATCAGTTGTTCTCTTCGTGGACATTTTGGGATTATTTGTCGATATTTTTCAACTCAATCACTTGTTGGAAAACCTCTTTATGGGCTGTTCCCTCTCCTGTCCACCTGTTGTGATAGTTTTAATGTTGGTACACAGACAACATGCTATCTCATAATTTCAACTTTCTATCTCATAATTTCGACCATGGGGATACTTTTATTTTCAAGTCTAACTATTTTTTTTCAAAATAAAAAATAAAATATTATTTATTTTTTTTTTTTTTGCTGGTGGATTCGCGGGCCACATACAATTACGTGGTGGGCCGGATTCAGCCCGCGGGCCTTGAGTTTGATACGTGTGCTTTAGACGGTCTACGGTGGCAACTTACTAGCACTAGCATGTTCCCTGGTTTCGCTAACTTGTTGGCATGTTTTGCAACAACGAAGGACGAACTCTGCTGCTCGTTCTGGTGTGACTGTGCCTTTATAAAATGGTACTATCTAGTTAGTTAGCATTTTTGAAGACAGAATATATCTCTTTCTGCTTCTTTGGTTTTGGCCATTTTGTTTTTTTAAATTCGTCTTTGTGAGTCCGATTTTATGGACGCGCTAATACTGAAGAACAAATATATTGTTGGGAGTTAAAATTAGGAAAATATTTGTTTAATGCTTCTCTTAAAACAGAAATTCTAATCGCTAATATCACTCGTCGTTGCATTCAACATATTCTCAAAGCAATCGACTGCTCCATAAATACCACGCATTAAGTATTCTATGAAAAAATAAAACAATATTACGAATCCCACGTTTTGTCAAATAACGACTGCCACTACAGTTCACCTACTTTGGTTATGTTACATTTAGTTATTTTGGCCTCTTCAGAGGGTTAGGATAATTGTGCCACTTATGATTTATTATCTTTATTGCGGCAGCATTTTTAAAAAAGGAATTCGAACAGCTTATCTTCTCACAGAAAGTGAGAAAAAATATGCTAGACTTTATCTTGTTTGCCTGTAAGCTTATTTAACACAACACGATCAAATGTGCAGAAAAAAAGAAGACAGAAGATGCCGCGGTGGAACCATCACAGTCACCAAACTAAAAGATTAAGGTCATCATTTCTGATTAAAATAACGTTAACTATTTCCGTCCTTATAGGGTCGGATAGTGGTGACAGATCAGCACAACACCACGCCTGCATGCCTCTCCCACTCACTGTTTACCTTTGTCACTCCCTCCCTCCGTCCATCTCTCACCCCCATGTCTGTCTTCACACGGGCACATGGAGTGAGGATATTAATGACAGCTGGGTAATTATTAGATAATGGCCGCTTAGAGGCGCAGTACTGATTATATATTTAAAGGATGGGCGGGGGGAGGGGTTTGTGTGTGTGTGTGTGTGATTGGATTGAGTCGGCAATCTGCGAAGTTTAGCAGTCAGTGGCAGACTTAGATTTAACCTGTGTTCTTAACCTCGAGCTGTGCATGTGTCCTTGGATTGAACAGGGATTGTGATTGGCTGGAGGAACTGTGGGAAAACGGGCCAGAGTGTCTGGGGTCATAATGTCAAGTCAACTTTACCTTGAGCCAACTTTAGAAATGACACACGAAAAAGGAAAATGTGTTGCACTGCCCTTGGATAGATAGAGGTTAATGGACAGTCACAATTACAGTAGAAGAACAAGACCATAGGGATGGAGGCCTGCTAAAGGTCCCTGGAGGCTCTTATTTCTATCGCACCATACCATATTAAATTATCATACCAATTGTTTGGATGTTTTTGCCATGGTACTGGATTAAGGAATGTTGGTCTGTCAATCCCCTCCTTTGGTCCAGACAGAATATCTCAGCAAACACTGGGTGAATTACTGTGGAATTTTGCACCAACATGCATGGTACTCAGATGAGGACGTCTCGTGACTTAGGAGATCACCAGACTTTTCCTTTAGCCCCCCCCCCATGAAGTCGAAATTTTTGTGTTTTTAGTGAAATGTCTTGAATAACTGTTGGATGGATTGACATTTGACGACTGTGGATCAGTGGTAGAGCGGGTCGTCCTTCAATCAGAGGATCAGTGGTTTCGATCCCCAGCTCCGCTAGTCCATGTCGATGTAGGCTGAATGGATATTAATGGTTAGTCCTGATCAATCACCATCAATGGGTGAATGACATGTAGTGTAAAAACTCTTTGAGTGGTCGGAAGACTAGAAATGCGAGATACAAGTACAAGTCCATTTACCATTCATCATCAGGGCAACATTGTAATTCATCCAATACTTAAGTTTCATGACTGATTACTTGCAAGTCTAACAACATTCCCATCAGGGTCAGCAGCGTGGCTGTGGATGTCTAGGTCTTGTAAGAGTCATGATGGTTGCACTAGAGGGAAGGTCATGAAAATCAAAGAAGTATCACCCTGGGAGCATGAACGTACACATTGAATGCTTGTTTCTCTATTAAATTATGAGATATGTCTAAAATGCTGAAATTTCTAACGGAGAGTCTAAAATTTAAAGGGTGCATCCTCTGAGGAGTATGCATGTGATCAATACACGTCATGATAATTTGACGCCTACATTGTGATGGATCCTAAAATGAGGCGATGTCTCCTTGTCTCCTTGTGACCCCTTGTTATAGGTTGCATTCGTCACGGGCTCTAGCCAGTTTAAAAAAGATATTGTTTAATTTAGACATTTTTAGTGGCTTGGAAGCCTCCAGTAATTTACAAGGTAAAACCATAAATCAGACACATGTCACAGCTAGAATTACCGTCTCGCCTTTGTATACCTCCGCCAACCAGTCAAGTTGCAGTTGACTTCCACGTCTGTCCAAAATGTTATCACTTCATAAATGTATTGATTTATAGCCCAAACCTGTTTTGTCAGGTCAAAATGACCTTTGACCACCAAAATCTAAATCAGATCATCCTCGAGTCAAAGTGAACATTTGTGCTAAGTTTAGAGAAATTCACTAAAAGCACTCCTGAAATATCGCATTCAAAAGAATTGACCGGATGGACGGACGGGAACATAATGCCTTCGGTCACACAAAATCTTTATTGCTCTTTATTGCAAATTATATTTTTACTGATCGCCTTCTGACTTATGTTTTGGGTCATTTGTGTACAATTTTCAAATTTTAAGTCATCTTTTATGAATGTCTACAGAATAAATCACTGTAGATAAACACAGACTCACTTATAGACTTGGCTCTTGTGTCCGTGGCTCTTTGGAGTGCTGTGGAAGCCGACAGTGTACACAGGAATGTGGGCCATCTTCTTCGAGGGAATCTTCATCTGGAGCACAGGAATGAGAGGAAAATAATGAGACGGAGAAGAGAACTAGAGCTGTATGGTGAGGAAAGTACAGCCAATAGATTGAAATTGGACAAACACAAAGGACTCCACACTTACACGGCAAACCACCATGACCATTAGTCGTCACACAGTCACAAATAAACATGTAACCAGAACAAACACACGTCTTTTAAACCACGATAAATGTTGCACAACACAAATGAGTCACAGGACCCCCGACAAACAGCAGCACTACACACTTCATTTAGAATCACAAGAAAACAGCCTGAATCTCAAACCTATGGAGCACAGAACCAGACATCCAACACGGTCTGGGACCGAGGCAACAAATGCAAACCGACAAAAGAACAACAGAAGAGATGACGTCAGCAGAAAAACTTTGCTTGACAGATTGAAATAATGTGTTGACAAGTGGAACTATATCCCATTCAAGCTCTTTAAATAGATAAATAGAAAAATAGGCACAGATAACCATATTTAAAATAAAAAAAGCAAAAAGCACTCAATAAGGGCTTGACAGTAAGGTTTTTTTTTGTGATATTAGTGATATTTCAATATTGCTGACATATAACTGCGTAGTATCTTAATGACTTAAAATATAATGATTAAATATGGCAACCATATTTTACTTTTTGGCAACCAAAAGCTGATGCCTGGTTGCCAATCTGGCAACCACTTTTAAAAATGAGTGTTGAGCCCTGTTGATGATGGCCATCACTAAACACTATAAGTTCTTAAAGTTACCTTTGCACTGCAGGAGCCGCAGACGGATCTGTAAAGGAAAACAAAGATGAATCAGTACACGTGTATTCTTGAATGTAAAGAAAGATTCTTACTAGCTTGTATCGTAAAAGGGGGACAACAATTTTGGAAATTGGTCCAGTATTGAGGTAGAGCTAGTATCTGTCTAGAGCATGTTGGGAAGCTCCCTAGCATTTTTATTGTTTTTGTTCATTTATAAGACTTAATCATAAACATAAATAGAAAATAAGAAATTAAAACAGTACACAGATTAATTTTCTGCCTAATATATTCATGTCTTTTGGCTGGAATTTCTCTTTCCTGGCGGGATGTACAGCAGGTCTAACACTGAAATGAGAGAATGACATGGATGAATGAATATCACGGCTTCATGTTAGCGCTAATGTTAGCTGATATCTGCCTCAAGCAGCAGCTAAATCAATCAAAGTTTACCTTTTTAAATTCCAACCCAGTAACTAAACTGTTTACTGCACATTTTCATACTGAACGTTCAACGTAGAAACACTGTTAAATATTTCAATTTCATTACTTTTAGGGCAACAAATACATCATCTTGGCAGTAAAGAGACTTTTGGACCGCATGTAGACCATGTTGTGAAAGCTAATTTACAGAAAATATATTAATGAGCAGTTCATGAAATAAATAAAACATGCATCAGACTCATGCCCTTAGTATCACCTAGAAACATCAAGTAGCATTTCAAGATAAATGTGGATTAAATGTTTCAGAAAACGGGTGAGAGGAAAGTCTTGTCTGATACCTTTTACACAGTAAGCAGGTAGATGGCCATGAAAAGAGAGGGAATTTCACCCTGCAGCAACAGCAAACCTGAGAACACACACACACACACACACACACACACACACACACACACACACACA